TATATATATATATATATATATATATACCCTCCTTCTCTGGCTTCTGTGAAGGGAAAAACCAGATTGTCACAGCAGTGACACACCTTGGCCTTGCTGTCTGAAGAGAGTCTATAAAAGGTTTGCACCCAGTGTTTTCCCCTTCCTCAGCTGCTCAATCCAGATGACAAAACCTCAGATTACCAGTTTCTCACACTGTGGATCCTAGACGCTAGAAGAAATGGTCTGTAAAGAGAACTCAACATTTTCCTATTAAAAAAAAAAAAAAAACCCTTACCTTATATTTTGCCTGCCTAGGCCAGTAATGTGTAAATTTGTTTCCAGGTTTACCTGGTCACGCTCGGGCATTCTCTAAGATAATGCTGTTTGTTGTTCTGTTGTACACAGTCCCAGTGATCAGGTGCCTGGTATAGATCTCTTGTTTGTTGTGAGATGAGGAGCTACAAAGCTGGAATCACAGGGGGGGAAAGTAAAATCGAAATCTGCTCAGGCGAAAAGCCTGCAGTGTTGGGGTGAGGGGAAAGAGCAAGGGAAAGCTGCTGTTTCAAAATCACACCTCTGTTGTGCCCGTAGCTCTTGGCCCTCAGGGAAGGATTCATTCAGGGGGTGTCCTTTGGGGAACAGGGATACAAATCAGCACTGCCCATGGCAGACACACCTGGGCAGTGCAGCCAGGGAACTCACACTCTAAAATGAGCTTTCCCAAATGATCACCTTTTTTCACAAGCTGCATTTACTCTGCCCTCCAGCTACAGGAGATAGAAGCTAAAGGAGCATAATGGACTGCAAAGGAACCACTGAAAATGACTCCTGTAGTTTGTTACAGTCTCCATTGGGCTAAAACAGTGTTTTACAGCTTTGGTGCTCAGGTAATATCTGCCAAGTCAGTACTGTTCTCCTTTCACTGCTGAAAAAGAGAAATTAAGCTGCTGGCACCAGTGTGGTGGTTTCCGTTTGAAACTGGGTAGAAACATTAATTTTGTGTAGTGGTTTTGCTTTGTTAATTTGAGATTTTACTAATTTTGAGATTTCCTGGCTAATGTACTAAAGAGTGTGTGGGTTTGGTGTTGGTTAATTATTAGTGTAGGTCACTAATAGTGGTTTCCCACTTGAGAAGTACTTTCTGTGACACAGCCACAGCAGCACCTGTGGCACCACTGAGGTACTGGACCTAAGGCAGCCTTTGTGGAAGCACCTTTTGTGCATCTTAATCTATTAATAACTAATAAATGACAAGCTCAGTCTTAGATGTGAATAAATCTGCAAAGTAAAGCCATTAGAGCTAGAAAGAAGTGTTCCAAAATGCATAGTTTTGGGAATGTTTTAGATACAGATGTCAGCTACTGCAGTAAATCAGCTGCAGTATAGAGCTGTGCATTTCTGTAGGCAGAATACTCCTGTGTTCCAGAAACAAATGTATTACTGCTGGAAGTTATTAATGTTTTTTTGTATGCTTCTTTCATAACCCTGGTTATTTATGGAAAAAAGGTGTTTGGTTGCAGGGTTTTTCTGGGACACAGCTTGTGAAAATACAACTACTTCTTGTAAAATGAAACTTTATTCTAAAATGTATCCAAAATTGCAAGACACAAGCACCATTAAACAGATAAATAGACATATATTTATATACAGAGAGCATCAAAACACAAAACAATTGTTAATATAATTCTTATACCATTTTAATGAGTATCCATCAATAAAACTTTACAATTTAAAGGAGACTTTTCAGTTGCAAAACAGTTGTAAAATCATATGTATAAATTATGTTTACTACAATTCCAATAACAGAGGCAAAGTAAAATACAAAAATAATAATCAATACTGCAAATTCAAATACAAACCCCAAAAGTAATGCTGCACAGGTACGTATGTACACTGGATGAATTCATGCAGCCAGGCAGTGCAACAAATTAACTGCTGAGTTTAACTTATCACAAAATGGAACCACCATGTCGAAAAACAGAAGAAAATATACTTTTGTAATAAATCATAGTGCATTTTGAAGTTAGACTTTATAAAATGATTGTTGAGTGATATACTTCTAATATTCCCCATGTGATCTGAGATCCCCCCAACTCCTTTTTTCACAAAATAAAATACAAATGACAAAAGCTAAAAACCCCACTGTAGAACAGAGTCTGATGTACTGGTACCATCTTGAAAGCATTTGTTTGAATTCTCGGTATCAGACTTGTTTGCAAGTGTCCATGTCCACAGGGACACGAGTTTTTCCTTGCTACCAGAAGTAAATCTTTCACGCTCCAATGCTATCTCCATAAACTGCATCTCACACGATGCTTAGGCTGCACTGGTTTGAAGAGACACAGCTGAGCCTTGAAAAAAGAACCCTCAAATCCCTATGAAGCACAGAGAGAGTAAATGGAGGATAGAGAGACCTCATTATTCCTGAAGCTCCTATCCCTAATTGCTTTAATTACATAAACAGAGATTAACATAAGAGGCTTTTATGGCTTGGGTGAAATTTCTGCTAATTTGCTGGGCAAGTGCAAAGCCCATGTCTCTCCACAGGGCTTTGCCTTTCACAGTGCAGAGGGCTACAGACTCTTTTGGTTGGTGAAAGGAAGCCTCAGGTAACTATATAGAAAAATACCTCTGCAGTGA